GCCGGACTTGAAAGCCTACACACTACACGATATGATTTATATGGCATTCTGTAAAACAGAACTGTAGGAACAGGAAACAGATCAGTGATTGCCAGGAACTAGAGACATAGATAGGGAATTGATTACAAAGGACCTGAAGGGAATTTTTTAGAGTGATAAAAATAATTTTATCTTGATTATGGTGGTGGTTACTTGAGTGTATGTATTTGTTTAAATTCATAGAACTGCACACCTAAAAGGTACAGTACATTAATTAAATCTCAATAAATCCTTTTTTTAAAGCATTTCTGGGGATACAATGAGCATGGAGAGAAAGCTAGATATTATCATTTTGCTGAAGAGTCCCAAGTTTCAATAAATGCCAGAAGTAAAAATAAAAATAAAATGCCAGCAGTTACACAAAGAGAACAGGCAGTTTCCCTAACCCCAGTGTATTCCTTTGCTCCCCTGTTCACTTCCACTGCTGACGTGAGCTGCAACAGCACACTGCTCTTCAGAAAAGGGAGAAAAGGTGACAGCATGAGGCAGCAGGCCACTCTGGGCAGCAGAGAGGACTGGGTAAGCCAAGCAGTTTATCCCTGAAGCTGCTCAGTCACCCCTCAGTTAATTATCTGTCTGCTGATTCATGAGTTGAGGTTTCTGTGGGCAGGCTTCCTGGCCACTCCTGCCAATAAGGGCAGAAGGACTCCTGGGACTGGGAGGGGATGATAACCAGAGATACTGAGAGGAGTGGGGAGTTGCGGAGGAAATATTTGGATGGGGAAATTCTAGATAGGTTCAGCTCCCCCTCTTTACGATGTTGTCTCCTTGTCCTATCTTACGATCTCCCCAAGAAACCTCTGCCACTCATCACCTTTGCCTTCACACTCACAAATTTGAGAGGAGTACAGGAGAATGCTGCCCTCCTTGGTAGCTACTACTATGAGAGGGAAAAAGGCAGGTACTCCCCTAAATTTTCAGCACCCTCAGATCAGAGGTCAAAATAGTGCAATAGTGTAGAGTGGCTCAAATGCCCAAAGAAACTATTGTGTTGGCTCTCTTAATATCTTCCAGGCCTGGATGTGTAACTCAGTGGTAAAGCAACACACACACACACACACACACACACACACACAGAGAGAGAGAGAGAGAGAGAGAGGCAGAAAGAGAGACAGAGACAGAGAGAGAGGCGCATACACACAAAATCCCCTCCAGAATATCCAGGTGGGAATCTGTTAGGAATGAATTCAAATATTTAAATATTGAGTTTCTTTATTCTTTTGCTTTCAGTACTGAGAGTTGAACCCAGGAGTGCTCTGCTACTAAACTGCATCCGCAGAGGGTTTTGCTTTTTTGTTTCTTGTTTTTGTTTTTTGAGACAGGTCTTGCTAAATTGCCCAGTCTGGCCTCAAATTTGTGATCTTCCTGACTCAGCCACCCAATCCCAGTCTTTCAGCTGGGATTACAGGCATGTGCCACTGTGCCAAGTGAATACTGGGTTTCTTTTCTTTTTCTTTTTCTTTTTTTTTTTTTTTGAGACAGTTCAGGCCGGCTTTGAAGTCACTGTGTAACCCAGGCTGGCCTTGAACTTGTGGCAATCCTCCTCCCTCCGCCTCCAAAGTACTGGGATTACAGGCATGAGCCAGCAATACTGGGTTTCTTAAAGTGAGGCACATCACCTTTACATCCTTTTTCATAACATGCCCTAGATAATTATTTTGCTACCTATGTGCCAAGTACTGGGCCTGAGTGTTGCACAAAATAGACATGTGGAAAGACTGAATGAAGTCTTTGTGAACACCTTTTTTTTTTATGGTGGTGGTATGGGGATTGAACCTGGGGCCTTTGCACTGAGCAACATCCTCAGCCTTTTTATTTTAAGACAGTCTGGCTAAGTTGCTAAGTTGCTCTGGCTGAACTCAAACTTTTGATCCTCCTGCCTCAGCCCCCCAGAGTGCTGAAATTACAGGCATGCATTACCATGCCCAGCTTGTGAGCCTCTTTTACCTTCCTCTGGTCCCAGGGACAGGACTTGAGGTTTTCTCATGGATACAGCAAATGTGTAGATCTCTTTCCTCCTCAGCCTTCTCTATGGATTCTTGCTGGATGAGAGAGGCTGAGATATGCCAAACCATGAAAGAGGCATGGGTAAAAATAAGAGGTGCCCTCTCACATAAGCCTCTCACAGGCATCTTATGCTAGAAGCCTGGATTGCACTCATTCATGAAGCAGTAACAACTTTTATCTCCAATACATTGTAGAGACCATGAACAGGAAGAATAATGACAATAGTAGTTGCTATTAATTGAATAATTACTTTGTACCTTTGTCTCATCTAATTAGCATAATCAGAGACAGTGTTTTCTATATTTTATAGGTGACAAAACTGAGGACCAAGAGACTAGGTAACTTGCCCAAGGTCACACAGCCAATAAGAGGCAAAGTCAAGAATCAAACCTACATCCTGCTGGCTTAAGCCACAACTGTCCCTTTCCCTAACCAACACGACTTTCTCCACATCCCTGTATCCCTGGGACTCCAGAGGGCTTCAATTTGAGTTTCCAGGATACAAACTACAAAAGATAACTAAGCACCTCAGCTCAGAACTAGTTAGGTTAAAATAAAACCCTAAATATGAGAAAACCACAAAACCCAGTATCTCTTAGATGAAGCTATGAAGATCATCTTTGTAGATAAAATCTGAAACTCAACACTGTCCTTAGGCCACCTTTCTTCTCCAAATACCAGAAGCTGCTTTTGTTTTGTTTTTTCGTTTTTGAGACAGGGCCTCACTATGTAGCCCAGGCTAGCCTTAAACTCACTGTGTAGCCCAGGCTTGCCTTGAACTTGTAGCAATCCTCCTGCCTCAGCCCATCCAGTGCTGAGGTCACAGGCGTGAGCCACCATGCCCGGCCAGAAGCTGCTATTCTGGGACAGCCTGTCTGTGCCACCCCTAACCCCCAGCCTACCTTTCCTGTGTCCCTTCGACACTGTATATCACAACACAACTGTCCTATCATCCTACTACCAACTGCTTCCACAGGGATCTAATGATGTCTGCTACTCTGCCACCAACACTTAGGTAAATATAACAGAAACTGCTTTGAGAAGGGACTTACGGTAAGCTGACTGTGGAGCCCCTGCCCTTAAACACTACTCTACTCTGCCTCTCATCACCACTCCTAGAACTGCCCCAATCACAAAGATGAATCTGTGAGCAGAAAACCCAAAGGATCTCTAAAGCAAACTTACATGTCAATCCAATGTCATCCTATATAGATCATTACAACTGTGTGAATGAGATGAACACAAGATATCCTCAGGTTGGAGAGAGGCTGGGAAGGAGGGAGAAGCACTAAAATAGCATATGTGTTCTTCATCTTCACTAACATTGAGCCAAGTGCCATGGTAGGTGCTATGTTACCTCATTATTTCCTTCTAAAATTATAAGAAAATATGGTGGGTGTGGTGGCACGTGCCTGTGATCCCAACACTCAGGAGGCTGAGGCAGGATTACCATGAGTTTGAGGCAAGCCTGAGCTACATAGTGAGACCCCGTCTCAAAATATACATAAATAAATTAAATTAAACTGGGTTTGTAAAAGAACTTTTAATAAAAATCACAAAATGTTTTAAATGTGCTACGTATCTTAACTAAGAGAAAAGTTGGAAGGTACTCAACACAAAGAAAGGCCAATTATCCTGATTTGATGATTTCATTACATATATTACATATGTTACATTGTATATATTATATGTATCATACATATATATTACATTATGTGTTACATTATGTGTTACATATATACATAAATATTGTATGAGTATATATGTATGAATTATCACACTGTACATTATAAGTGTGTGCATTTTTATATATCAGTTTAAAATTTTAGAAGCAATAAAATTTAAATGTGTTAAGTTCAATGAAAGCAGGTCTATCTGCAGGAGACTCTGAAATGCTCTGTGGATTTCTCCATTCCCAGCATCAACAGCCAATAGCAGGCAACTAAGGACTTAAGTTTTTTTTTTAAGTTTCGTCTGGAAAGTCTTAACTTGGTTACTTAATTTTGTTTTTGGTACCGGGAATTGAACTCAGGGCCTCACGCTTGCCGGGCAGGCGCTGTGCCGCTGAGGTACATCCCCAGCCCAATCTAACTTGTTTTATGAGTACTGTTGTACCTTTTAAGGGTACTTATGTGCACTCCTGTCCTCTGCGGAAGAGGCAGCCTTTGCGGACAAGGAGCCAGAGTTTCCCAAATCTAGCAAGATCACCAAAGGCTGCGGAAGATGACGGGCAGTTCCCCGCCGGCTCAACTTCTTCATAACCCTCCCCACACCAATGCGTGCAGCACCAGGAGAGACAAAACCCGGGAAACAAGCCAGCCCAAGGGACCTCTGTCCCGGCTCCCCACAGACTAGGGAAGTCGGGTGCAAGGTCTGTCCCAGAAGCAGAAGCTCTGCTGCCACCTGGGGACACTGGAGGAGGCAGAGCCCTCATCCTGCTCCAAACTGCTACCATGGAAAACTGCTGAAATTTAAAAACTTGAGGGAAAATATAACACACAAAGAAGGAGGAATGTCGAGTAAACTGGCAAACCAAAGCGCACATACACTCACCAGAGAAGACGCGACTGCATCCATCTGCCAAGGCGCAGGAGCAGCCCAGGAAGCCCCATCCCTCCTCTGCCACCCCGGACCGTCCCGGGTCTCCATCACCCTCAGCTCAGCGTGGGGCTCGGAGATGCGTCTCCTGCACCGCGCGCGCCGAGGCACCCAGGGAAAGAGCTCGACCCGGCTGGTGGCTGGAGCGCCCCGGAAGACCTGTTCCCAGGCACCGAGCTCCTCTCTGCGCGGCCACCGCGTGGCCTGAAATGTGCCCAGCTCCGAGATTCGACGGCCCCAGCCGGGGTCCACGCCTTTGGGCTGAAGAAGCGCAGGACCCACCCGCCTGGTCTGCACGGTAGGCAGCGGCGCGGCCGCCAGGAGAGCTGAGTCCCGGGCGCGAGAGCCTCACTCACCTCCGACGCCGACGCCCGCCAGCGCCCCCAGCGCCAGCACAGCGGCCCAGAGCGGCTGGGGCCCAGACCGCGGTCGCATCTCGTCGTCCGCCCGCCGAGCTCGACTCGCCCCACAGCAAGCCGAGGCGCCCGTAGCCGCTTTTCCCGCAGCGGGAGGGGAGGGCACGCGGAGGGTGGGACGCAACGGGGCGGGCCCCGGGCTCTCGCTTCCTCCCGCGGGCCCTTTTCTGGACCCTACGCCTCAGAGTGGGCGGTGGGAAACCGCGGCTGCTCTCCCAAGGCCTCGCCTTCTCCGCCCATGATGATCGCTTGCCTGCTTCTTAGGCTAGGCCGAGCCCAGCGGGGGTCGTGAGTGCTTCCTGGTCCCTGGAGTCCGCGCCTGGGCCCTTGGTAAGCTCAGAAAGGCCAGCAGGCTGTAGCGACTCTCTGGACCCCTCCTGTCCTGCCTCCTTGGGGACATCCATGGGTCAATTTCATTTGGATTCCTGGGGTACTATCAGTATCTCAAGTTTCATTCATTCAGGTTTCCATTCACTTAATTGACAGACATCTGTTCAGTGTCTTCTTTGCACCGGTTTGGTCCTTATTGTTCACTAATTTTTTCCCCTTGGGTTTGGTTTTCCCGTTGACTGTAAGCCTCTTGAAGACAAGACCACCCCTCAAGCTGTGGGATCACGAACAGTCTCTCTATAAATACGTGCTTGCAAATGACAGGTGTTGGATAAACGTTTTCTAACACAGTCATTATGTTGCATCCAAACTCAAACTCACAGGCTTTGGAGCTTTATCCTATTTTCCTTAAAGGCCACCTGCCCACTCTCCTCTCCATCCCTTTTCCCAATTCTTCCTCTGGGTCCTTGGGTCTTCCCCAAACCAAAAACCTCTAGAAGTACAAAAGGGGCAAAATACTAGGGGTGTGAGCAGGAGGCCACCAGAAAGTAGCTGGACCGGTCAGGCTGTCATAATGGGCAGCTCTAATAGTAAAGAACAAGGCCTGAGGCATCAACTGTGTCCTGACAAGTGGCCCTGACCCACCTCTCATCCATAGCCCAAGAAGATGATTTTCACTCCCTATGGCTCCATGCCTTTCTCTCTGACTGAACTTCCTTTTTCCACTTGGAAAATTCCACTTATTTTTCAAAACATCTCAGATGTCATTTCTTCCGTGTAATCTTGTCTGATACCTCCATCGTCCAGTTCCAGTCTCTGAAGAGGAGGGTACTTCCTCCTCAGACCTCTCAAAGACTAGAATCTAAACAGTGGCACACAACAGCAGAAGTGGCACTAGCAATCTGCAAGCGGGTAGATGAAGTACTAGCCCCACAAAGGGTAGCTGGGCTCTCCGGCCTTGGCTGTGAGACTCCAGCTCCATCCATCTCTCTTGGCTTCAGAGGACCTTGATTATGTAGGGATAGAGACCTGTAGGTAGGGAAAGATGAGCAGAAACTCCCCCCCCCCAAGGAATTTAGACAGGTGAATGAACAGGTTTAACCACCTGTGAAGAGCTGATAGCCTGCGGTTGCACTTCCTCTTTATGCTGTACTCTGCAAAGCTTGGTTTGCAAAAGTTAAAAGGAAAAAAAGGAAACTTGACCCAGCAGTGTGAAAAGCCTCCAAAGACCCTTCCCATCTTCCCTAGTAACGAGCCAATGGACCAGTCAAGTAGGGCACTCTCAGCCCAGAGACAGGAGAGGCCCCCGCCTACTATAAAGTCAATACCTCCAGCCTCACTTCAACAGTGGCCGGTGGCTCTATTTTGGCCACCCCTGCCTGTCTCTCTGAGAGATGGCAGCTGTACTCTTGCATGCCTGCTGAATAAAAGTACAAACTCTGCTTCTACACTTTCGATCTCTGATTATTCCACAACCTTCTGCATCGTTGGGAGAATCAGGCCCTGGATTGTGGGGAATCTCCACCCATCTCCGTCCGTGACAATTACACCTTTGTCTAGATATTTACTTACTTGCTCAATTCCATGGATAACTAATCTCAGATCTCCTAGGTGTCTCTTCAGCCTAGCCCTGCTGACACCAACTTGAGGTAGGCACTCACCCCAGAAAATATGCTAAGTCCCCAGCCCTAGTCAAGCCCTGGAAAACATGCCCTCGCCATGCAAGAGAGTCAGTGCTAAGCACCCAGCCCCAGAAAAGGAAAGGAGCTCATCCATTTACATTTAGTATAATAATTGACGTGTTTACATCTTCCATCTTATTTGTTTTATCCTTTCTTTCTTTTCTGTTTTCTTTTGGGATAATTCTTTTCTTGCCCCTTTTACTGGCTTTCTAGCTATCTCTCTTTTTTTTTTTTTTTTTTTGGTACTGGGGATTGAACTCAGGTCCTTGCGCTTGTGCAACAGGTGGTGAAACCACTGAGCCAAATCCCTGGCCCCTATATCTCTTTTTTATAAGATGTGTATGTGTGTGTGCATGTGTACATTTGCTCTGAGGATCACACTATGTATCCCTAATTTATACATAGTTTACCTTGAATTAGTATGGTACCAATTCGTATAACATGTAAGAACCTTAAAGCTATTTAATTCCATTAACATAATCCCATACTCTATGCTATTATTATCATATATCTTACTTCCAAATGCATAGTAATTCACAATATATTTTTAATTTTGCTTTAGTTAATTGTCCCTTAAATTAAATAAGGAGACAAAAAGATAGTCTTTTAAGTTTATCCACATATTTACCATTTCTCATGCTCTTTATTCCATCCTCTAGTTCTGAGTTTCTATCTGTAATCATTTCCTTTCAACCTGAAGAACTTCTTAAATTTAGCAAATATTAAAGTGAAACTCTCCTTGAAGAAAAGAAGTACCCAACTTTCATGTGTTTCACCTTAATTTTAATGATATTTCTTAGGAATAGATTTCTAGATTGTCAGGGGGGTTTTCCTCTGAGTACTTTAAAGATATTGTTCCACTGTTTGCTGACCTCCATCATCTCTGATGAGAAGTCCACCATCAGTTAGTGTTCTTGTTCCTTGTCTTCTCCCTTTGGCTTTTTCTTTTTCTGTTCCTCCTCTTCCCACTAGTTCCTTCTCTTCTCCTTTTTAATTTTGAAATTATTTACACTTACAGAAAAGTTGCCAGATCCTGAAGAAAATTCCCTTATATTTTCACCTAGCACCCTTAATATTCACCCCTCACATTACCACACCATAATTAATAAACACAGAAAAATAATTTTCATTTAATAGTATGAAATAATCTAGTTACAGAATTTCAGTTTTCCAGTTTTTTCAACTAATGTCCTTTTTCTAGGCCAGAATCCAATCTAAGATCCAACATTGTTTTCTTGGGTTTTGTTGTTTTATAATACTGGAGATTGAACTCAGAAGCTCATATATGATAGGCAAGTATTTTACCACTGAGCTCTACCACTATTTTGAGATAGGATCTCACTAAATTGCCCAGGCTAGTCTTATACTTGCAAACCTCTTTCCTTAGCCTCCAAAGCAGCTGGAATTACAGGTATGTGCCACCATATTGTATTTAATGATCCTATGTCCCTAGTCTCCTTCAATCTGTAACATTTTTAGTCTTTTCTTCCTATCTTTTTAAAACTCTATACTTTAGTGCAAATATAAAAGGATAGTTCTCAATAGGTTAAATGCTACCAAGAAGACAAGCACATTGAAGATAGGGCAGAGATGGAGAACACATGAGTGGGTTCCATGGACCACCCCTCTCCCAAAAACACTACTTCCTCTCCCTGATCCTCTTAGTTACTTTTCTCATTGCTGAGACAAAATAACAGACACCCAAAGTTAAAGAACGAAAGGTTTATTTCAGCTCACAGTTTGTTCCAGCTCAGCACACCAGATACTACCTGGCCAAGTCTAGACTTGAGCTATATGCCCATAGAGGACATTGTGTGATTGTTCATACCCCATCAAGGACAAAGCCATAGCCCTCCTGCACTCAACACCCAAATCAGGGAGATGCCTTATTCTGATAATGAGGCTGCTGCTTGGCTTCTGGCCCCAAATTCCTATTCTGATATCTCTCTAAAGTCCTAGTTGCCCTCCTTGAGGCCTTCTTGCAATGAATTAAAACTTTCAGGGGCCTCAAGCCATATATTTTAGACCTCTCAAGCCCTCCTTATTTGCCTTCTTAAAAAATAGGCTGAGACTAAAAATGGCAGAGTAGAGAGCACCAGTAAAATACAATGTCTTCAGGACCTGGTATTGAGAAACCTGCAAAACAACTTGGTAAAGAGAGAAAAAAAAGTCAATCTGCAGGAATCAGGAGGAAGCTAACAGGAAAACTAGAAAATACAGAGCAGCTGGAAAAGAATATAATTCAGAGAAAAGAACAAAGCAGTCTGGAAAGCTGACCTCAGCTCCTAGGAAGGGGGACCTGTCTCTGCAGACACAAAATAAGCCTGTATCCTATTTCCCGGGGGTTTTATGGAGCAAAGCCACAAATTGAGGCAAATTCAAGGTGGGACAAAACTATGAGACCCAGTGGAAATTACAAGGGGGGCATGAGGTGGGACAAAACCATGACCAACCAATATGATTAAGTACAGTCACCCAGGTAATATTGATTAAATGGGGATCAAATGGGAAAATAAGTCATATACAGGGAATTTCCCATTTAGAATATCAATCATGCTGTCCATCTCTAGGAGAAGTAACACCTCTTTTTTATAATGCTAACCAGTGAATGTGCCTCAATTATTCTCCATGCTAGCTCCTCCCTCTGTTGGCTCCTTAAGGGCGGCCCTGTCTAACTGCCTGCAAGATATCTAACTTACCTATCTACAATACTTCCACCTGGCAGGCTAGAATTAGAAAAGAAATTCAGCACCTCACCCAGCATATTTGAGAGAGTTGAATCAGGAGCCATGTTGGGAAAGTGTTAACTGTTTGAGACAGAACCACAGAACAACTATACCTCACGGTTTCTGGTGTCACTCTACCACAGTGACTGGGTGGGAGACAGCAACAAGAAGAGTAAAAGAGGGTGAAGGTTAGACATAAAACCACCTGAAAAGTTTAGGCTCGGGCAGGAAAGGATATGAAGGGACCCAGCCCTCTGTGCTGAGAAGCTAGGCCAGACATATGTGACTTTCAGAGGGGGATGAGTCTGAAACTGCTGGCATTAAGTCCAGTGGTCTGCTTGAACCCCAGCCCTGCTACCTTCATCAGGCACAAAGG